AAATTATTAAAAATAAGGTGCATAGGTAGAGTGATAGGGCTAAATAGCCCCTATGGGCCAGCCAAATAGTTAAACCTAAGGTTTAAGTATCTTCAATGGTGTGTATGCTGCGCGGAAGCCTCTAAATAGTGGCTATTTCTCTTGGCATTCAGGGCCGAAGGGTCCCACGTGACGTTGATCCCTGACAAGTACCCAATGCACCATTCAGGCATGAGATGCTTCAGCACTCTAGTCGTGAGCCAGGTTCTAAGCGCAGATGAGTTTGGATGAGAGTGGCTTTGCATGGGGGGCTCAGGTGCTCAAAGAACTATGCAGGACCATAGCGACGAAGGCTGTTGTAGGGACGAACTAGCCAGTCAACAAGAAAACATTTGGAGAGGCGATGTCAGAGGTAGCAACAAATGCTTGGGAGTGACTGGCCCGCTGTGAGATGTTGACTATTGCGTTGTCTTGGCTCTTCATTACTCCCAAATTGTCGGTCCTTCAGAGTATATCAAGCATACATTCAATTTTGCGTTCTGACAGAACTGAACTATGCAAGTATTGCTCTAAATGACACCAGAGCGATCAGGAACATTGGGCTTGTGGTATTCACAATGGTATTGTAGTGTCATGCTAAACTTGCTTGTCATATTGCTCAACGCCAAGGTGCTTACAGAAACGGCTCGGGTGAGGAGTAGACACCTATGTTATTCTTTCAGCGATTTCAGAGTGTCCATTGTGAGACTTACAGTTAGCGGACAAAAGTTCCGCCACACTTAATTTCCTTAATATCGTTGCACTTTTTGGCATTTAAGGCTATGCCACATAATTTATTTCATGACTAGTTATATATATTAATTAATATAAAATTAATCGCTCTTTCTTATAATATATTTAATATTTAATATACTAGCTTTTAGTGATAATTATGGCTGTTAATCTTCGCTATATTAATTTAATTAAGTTATGCATTATATTTTCTTTAATTTTATGCTAATAATTAATCATTACTTATATAAGTTTATCCTTTAAGGTTATAATAAATATAAGGATAGCTAATTTAAGGTTCTTTTTATATATAGCTTCCTTAAGGAGCTTTTATAAATTTTTAATTAAGTTAAAATTTAAGTTATATAATGGCTAATTAAATAAAGTAATGCTATATGCTAAGAATTATTTTTTTAGTTACTCTTATATTATCTTTATTATATATATTAAAGCATTATCTTTAAGGAATATACTCTTAAGCTTATAAATAATAAGAAGAACTTATTTATATAAAGCTTATATAATATTCTTAAAAATACCCTTTTTTTATAAAAGGGTTACCTTAAAGGGGGATTAAAGTAAACTTTATAAATTATAAAAACTTACCTTAAAATATTTTAAAATAATATATAAGCTTTACCTTTAATTAAATATTTTTTTATAATAATTAATCTTTTTTAAAAAAAATTATATAATAAGTTATTTAAGTTAGCATAAAAAAGTTATAAAGAAGTTTTTTTAAACCTTAGTATATTAAATAAAGAGGATATGTTTTCCTTAATTATAAGTAATAATAATCTTATTTATAAATATAATGCATTTTTATTAATTAATTAACTTTTAAAGATACTTCTTAATAAATAAAAAATATATATTTATATGTTCCTCTTTTAAAAAAGATCTTTAAAATATAGGTTTATAAAATATACCTTTATACTTAAGGGCTTATTTTAAAATCTGTGTATAATACTTTAATTTTACTTTTTATAATAAATTTTTTATTAATAAAAAAGGTTAATAATTAATAATATTAAAGATATATTTTATTTATTTAAAAGAAAATATAAATAAGTAGCCGTTATAAGGTAAAGAAATGGCGGAGAGCTAATATTAATAATGATAGATAATGCCTAGAATGAAGGCCTTAGGAACGCCCTCTTTCTTAAAAAGCTAGTGGTAAGTAATATTAAATTTATAGCTTATAATAATCCTCGTTTATTTATAAGGAGAATAGTGCTTTTTGGGCTTTTAGGAGTGATAGGCGGCATTATTATTAAAGGTTAAAGAGGAAGGGTGATCCTAGGTAGGTCTCTTCGCGTAAAAATTTAGAGCGGTGTGGCGGAACTTTTATCCACCTACTGTATAAAGCATTTGTTGAATGGAGTGGATGGCCTTTACCCGGGGAAACCACCTCAAGAACACAGCAATGAATTGAAGTTGCTATAAAACGATTGGTATCTCAGAGCCAGTCTGATACTAGTCCTCATCATTGATATGCTTCGGTCTTGCAACAGCCTACACACTATCACTTTGCTAAAGCTCCAGCGGACAATACTAAGCTGAAATCTATTGACAGGTGATCAGGTAAGTGGAGTGGCGTGGGCAGCCAGGAGGATCAGGGTAAGTCCTCCGAGATGGCTTCAAAAGCATCCTCGACCATTGGCAGTGAAGAAAATCAGCAAACGAATTGTCAGATCACAGCCTGCGCTCGCTATGTAATCCGGCACCTCGAATATACTAACCAAAAGGATCTCGATCTCACGACACGGCGGCAATCTCAACCTTGCACGCCGCCGAAAGCTCCCAGTGTGAGAAAATTACCCAAAAGGTTCCGCTGCGGGGAGAGGCTTGCCACTGGTCGGATATGCGGGAGGACGTACTGCGACCACCGTTGGATCTCGAACCATATCAAGGCTGTGCACCGGACAGACCCGAGTATCGCCAAGCAGCCAGTCGCGGATGAAGCTGTGGACATGCAAGTACCCGAGCGGTGGTGCCCCCTCGACCCACCCATTCAAGTCCAACCTACCTAGGTAAGAAGCCGGAAGTGTGCGACAACAGACCCCCAGGGAGGGGGAAGGGCGACACAGGTGATTGTAGAGGCAATCCTGAGTGCCCATGATGAGCATTTGTCCCTTCAGGAAACCAAAAACTACATTGCAGAACGGTACCCATGGTATGTGCAGCCGATTCGGAAAAGGCGTTTTCAACGCATAATTCAGTACGCGCTCGATAAACAGAAGTCGAAGCCCTTTGAACAAGTGCCAGAAATGCAGGGCCGATGGCGAGTGACGGCTAGTTATCGGAGGGAGTTGAGAGAGCTCGAGTCCCTACCTGTGTTCTCAACAAAATAACCAGGTCGTACTTAATCATGCTCAATTTTCGTCATCTTTTAGTACTGTGTTCAACCCTGTCTATTCTTAACTTGTTTATGGTTTGATTCGCCTTTGTTCTTTTTTTTTAGATCAGGGAACCATTGAAGTTAATCTATAGTGTGCTAGAAAACAAGTGTGAAGAAACCAGAATTTCCACTGATGGTATTGTGATTGACTATGTCTCGGTTTCCATGCCTTCTACGGAAACTTGAAAAAAACATCAAGTTGAAGATTGTGGTACAGCACATGTAACGAGCTGCTTGTCTAATATTGTCTCGTCAACCGCAAAGCCGTCTCCCACCTCGCTCGCACTCAGGTCCTTCGAAGATATGTCCAGTTCAGGCGGCGGCGGATCGGCCACTGTCATTTCCGCCGTATCGTGCTCGTAAGTATGGCCCCATTCTTATAATCCTCATTACGGCCAAATTTCCCATTCTTGCTCACCTTCACCATCGGCACCATATAAGTAGTTTTGTATTGATTCGTATACACTCTTACTATCGACGTGTAAGCGGTCCCTTCAAATAGTGACAGACGCTCAAAGACCCAGCGTTAGATAACATACTCCACACCATATAAGCCAGAACAAAGTCACCGCTTTCCTCCCACGTAACTTTATTCGTGTCATGGTTCCAGATGTTGAAGGTCCTCGGCCCACGGATACCACACGCCCACTCCAGAAGATACCGTCAACTCGCGCCCCCAGGCTGCCTCCAATGGACAAAGACATGAAGGTCTTTGCTTTGACGCCAGTGGCAACCTTGACCATGGGAACAAGTTACTGTGGGAAACCTAGATAGAAGAAAAGAAGATAACAAAGCCATAGAGGCCCCACAATGACATTTTTGCATCTCTTGAATGTGGCTGTGTTACTGCAGTGGTGTATGTGAGGATTGCTCACTGCTAAAATCCCGATAGTGATGGCTATTACTATCAGTGTCTAGGTATGGGCAACGAAGTTTGTGTGTGAGCATGTGTCTGTAATATCTCCTACTAGCTAATTGGGTGCATTTTGTATTCATGCCAGGTTACATGATTCTCCCTGACGGAGGCTCAGATCGTTCCTGATCCTCGGATCCTCGGACGATCTCTGCATCCTCAAGTTGTCAACTGACGGACGGCCAAGACAAAACTTATACCTGGTTCTCCAATACTACGACTAGAAGATATCCTGTTGTATCAATGGCGGGCGCATGCTCGATTTTGTGTCTGGCACTGGCAAGCGTGCATCTGCTGGCTTGGCAGCATTTCCCACGACCGGCAGCTGCCCAAATGACCAACGACAGTTACGGCGTCCGGAGCTCGGTTGGAGTCGGACTTACGAGAAGCGGCGTGGGGTGGGAGGCTTGGCTGCCCAGCCTGCCGCATGTGTCATGACCAGCAGCTGGCTCATGACAGCCCTGAAGACCGAGTGAACATTTTGATGGTTTTTGGATGGCAAGCGACCCCGGCCGACCTCGGTGGAAAGCGAAGGGTCCCTACCCGACAGGCTGGTCGGTTCGGGGTAAGCGAAGCAAGCGTCGGAGCCCAGGATCTTGGTGGTCTGTCTTGAACATTGTGCAAGCGTGGCTAACCCACACACCCAGCGTGGCCGGCGATGCTCTCTCTGCGTGCACCTTGCCTGCCTCTTTCTCTCACACACAGGTCCTCGTCCTCGCCCTCGCTCCGTCTCTCGCCCGTCTCTAATTTCCCGGTCCGCCCCGGCTCCTCTTTTCTTCCACCGCTACCTCTCACCTGCCGTTGCATCCGAGTCGACTTTTTGCGGCCACCGAAGCAACAAAAAGACCCGTCTTCCTCGCGCGACAAGCACCAACGAACACACTCGACACCCGGAAAAAAGACGAGGCGACGGGGCCCCCGAGCCCAGGTGGCAACATGTTCAAATCGCTGGTCAACGGCGCCAAGAAGCTTGCCATCGGCGAACGCGGCGGCGCGCCGATCGGGCAGCTCTTCCCCAAGGTCGACCCCAAGGTCGACGGCGAGGACTGCCTGAGGGACTGCGACAACTGCCCCACGCACTACCCCAAGAACTTCAAGATCGAAGAGAGCGACGACCTGTACGGAGGGGTCAAGGGGTGGAGCACCCACATCCTGGTCGCCACGGGCAAGGCGGACTGGACGCACAACGTGGCCAACGAGAAAGGCAGCGTGATGCAGGCCATCGAAAAGGCCGACAAGCCAAGTAATGGGGTAGGAAACAAGCCCCTCGCCCGGCTCGCTTCTCCCCTGCGCGCCCCATCTGCTGGCCGAGACTGACACCAGGCATCACCTGTCAAACAGCGGCTCATGCTCTCCGCCTCCAACATCCCGACCCCAAACCACAGCAGCGACTACTCGGAGCCAACGACGCTGCTCCTGCTGCCCGCCTTCGTCGTCATCGAGAACGTCACACCCGCCTCCGTCCCCGCGCTGATATCCGGCTATGTCGACCGCGCGCCCACCAACACCTCGGCCCTCCAGCCCGTCTCTGCTGCCATACCAGACTCCCTCCCGCCGCCAGACCTCCCGGAGCCGGCGGCCAAGCTCCATGGGCTGAGGGCCCGGCCGAGCCCACATTCCGTCCTGATATTGCTCTGCTCACAGAAGACCCGTGACGCGCGCTGCGGCCAGTCGGCACCGCTCATCAGCAAGGAGCTGCAGCGGGTAACAACACCCTCCCCCCGGTCTCTTGTGCCCGTGCTTTGCTTCATACTAACGTACTGGGCAGCATCTGCGGCCACTCGGCCTGTACCGTGACATGGACGACGAGAGGCCCGGCGGCGTGGGCATCTACTTCATATCGCACGTCGGAGGGCACAAGTACAGCGCAAACGTCATGATCTACCGTCGCCCAGACCCCTTCGGGCTGGACGGGCTGGAGAGGGCGAACCTCAAGGAGGGTGAGAGCTTGACACCGCGCATCAGGAAGGGCCCGGCGGATGGCCAGGAGGGGGACGCCGGTGCCGGGCAGTGCATCTGGCTGGGCAGGGTGAAGCCGGAGGACTGCGAGGGCATTGTCAAGTACACAGTGCTTCAGGGCAAGGTCGTCAAGCCCGAGCAACAGCTCAGGGGCGGCTTCGACCGGTCAAGAGGTCTGATGAGTTGGTGAAGCGGCGGGCCCAGCGCTGGTGACGTGACAGTGGCCCTCCTCGGGCCGGAGCCCGCCACAGCCGTTGCCGTCTGCGCCTCCGCCTCAGTCCGTCCCTCTCCGACCTCGACTCCTGCGTCATACGCGTCCCAGCTTTCTGGAAGCGAGATCCCACCAGAGACACTTGCACACACACGAAGGACGCATAGAGCTGGTGGCCGCCATCCTCCACCTTGCCAGAAGCCGTGTCGGGTCATATCGCACGTGCAATCGGCAAGGGATGGTCCGCACGTGAGGCTCGGTATTATTGCTCAATTCTCATCTGCAAGCGGTAGAAATACAAGTTCTCTTGCCTAGTGGCTGCAAGCCGTTCCATGGGCTCTTTCTCTTCCCCAGCCGCCTCACTTCCGTCGGTGTTGCCAGTAGCAGATGGTTGCACGGCCCTGTCTGATCCGAAGTGCCTCGGTTCACGGGTCCGTCCTTGTTCTCGTCCTTTTCTTCTTCCACGGTTGGCTTTTGATAACGGGCCATGGACGCTGACGGGGGCGACTGGGCCTGGCACCGGGGGGGGGGGGGCGTGTTCCGGTCCGGGAATGGATGCGGCAGCTCGCGATCTGTTGCAATACTCTTTCTAGGACCTCGCGGGGCTTCTAGACGGACGTGTATACCGTCGGCCTCTGGGACCAGCCTACTGTGGCATGGGCTTTCTAAGGCGTCCACCTGGGTTAGCAGATGGTGCTCTGTACCAGTGATGGCCGGCGGACGGGGGATGTTTACACCAGACCTTGCAGATACCAAACAACGGCGGCCCTTCGCAGAGTGTCTGCCTGCGACGAGCGGAACCAGGTGGGGCGCTGGGAGCGTTTCTGTCGAGGAATGAGAGTTTGGGCCCGAGCAGAGATGGCGGCACTGTTACTTCGCCTGCGCACTCTGGCCGAGTCTATCGAGTTGACCCCCAAGTGTACTGTGCCTAACGGAGTGTGTGTTCTATCATATCTATAAGTCGGTTAGATGAAGGTATCCAGCCTTCTGAGCCTTTCCGGGCGAGACATTGGCAGAGTGCAGCCTTGTGACCGATGACACCGTGATGATACGATGGCAGAGTCGGCAGCAGCAGGGCAAGGACAGCTGGATCGGGAAGAAAGAGGCAATCGACAAAGTTGAAGCATCTGTTTTGGACATTCACTTGATTACATGTCACCGGGGCGGCCTCGGACCAAGTGGACGACCAGGCTGCCGGAGCGTTTTCTCCGGGCCAACAGTTCATGAATCACGACAATCCTTGCCTGGGATGGATCCCACCGCGGTGCCAATACCTTCAGCAGCCCCCGCATTGAGCCATTGTGGGACCAGAGCTGCGGTTCAACATGCTCCGACGGTAATCTCGATTATCGTCCCTTGATGGCTTGCGACGCCCTTGGTCCCAGTGGGGCACAGTATAGCAGAAAAGGGGCTTCCGATAGCCAGCAGGAACCCAGAAGGGTGGCATGTCACTGCCTAGAACCCTTGGAAACGCACCACAGGCATTACACGTGTATTCCTGGCAATGCTCAGCCGAGTCGGGACGCACAAAAGACGTCCAGGGGTGATCTCGGACGTAACGGCATTCCCGGATCGGGTCCGGCCACCGTCATGCTTCGACCGCCGGCCATCGAGCAGCGCGGGACGGGAGGGCTCGTTGCCTCGAGCCGGAAACAGGGCAAGGAGACAGGTGAAAGTGCGCCACCGCTGCATCATGGCCGCTGCCAAACGCACAAGGCTCTGGCCTCGAACAGACGGCCCGCGCGATCTTCCTCGCCTGCATGGTGATCCTATCTTTACCGTCCACCATCTAGAGACCTCACTTGCAACTCCACCGACCGCCGAAATCCCGGTTCACACATCGAGATCTATCTCCAACATCGGAGTGCAAGTGGGCATCAGTATAACATCACCGCTGTCCGAGTGATGGGCACTACGATGCCGCATGGGCGCATGAACGCTGCTAATAGGCAAGCAAGGAGGATTTGGTCCGGGTGCAGCCTCCGGGGCCTCCTTGGGCATCATCAGACCGAACAAACTCTGTCTGGGGATTACGCGGTCACATGTGAGTAATTTGACGTTCTCGCAGTCTAGTCTATTTTTACACATACAGTATGACTCTGGCGATGATATTATCTCCTCGGCAAGGTGGTACAATACGAGGAGATGATGTCGCCGAGGTAAATGCAGCTAGGCAGTGCGTTCTACCGCCGAGAATTCCCAGATCTCGGGCACAAAGCCCACCCTCAACACAGGGCCTCCGTTGCATTCTCACTGGCTACCCTCCTGGGCCCCTTTCTCGGCCGTGTCGACGGGGGCTGTCTCGCTTCCCGTCGTTGCTTTCCGGGCCTCCACCTTCTTGATGTTGATCCAGCTCAGGCCAGAAACTGCACAAAATGCGGCTGCAGCACATGCCACGGTGATATAGTACGAGTGCCTCAAGCCAGTCAGATAGGCCGTTAGGACGGCCGTGGTGTACTGCTCCATGCCCATGGACGCAAGCACCTGCCTGACCTGCGATGCACCCGAGTTTATAAAGATTTGGGGGTCCAACCCAGGAACATCGCGCCTGATTCCCCCGACCAGGCCATTCTGGAAGACCGTCTGGGCCACGGCTATAAAAATAGCCCCACCAAAAGACTGGAAGAACTGCACGCAGGCGGTCGCTACCGCGATGTCCTCCTGCGGCAGAACGGCCTGCACGACCAGGATTCCGAGCTGGAACCCCACGCCGATGCCCAGCCCCGCCAGAACCTGGTAGCCGAACCACACCCTGGTTGGAGAGTCGAGTGAGAATGTGGTTATCATCCTGTCCACCAAAAAAAAGAGTGTCAGCTTCATAGACGTGTCTCGACAGCGATCGATCGGCAGAGCCATCTGGAGAGGGAGGGTGGAGTGGAGATGTCCGGATCGCTGGGTGACCAAGCGGTGATACGCTTCTGCGGTGGGCCTGCGCAAGATCACAATGCATCACGCGGGGGCAATAACCAGGGAGAAGGGGAGTGTTACCCAGCACCGACGGTGAATAGAAGCATACTCGGCAGGGCAAACGGGTTGTATCTGCCCACCGCGCTAATGAGTCCTCCGGAAAGGACACTGGTTAGGACAGTGGAGATGAGAAGCGGCAGAATCTTGACCCCTGCCTCGACGGCGTCGTCGCCCTGTATTGCTTGGAAATACAGCGACAGGTAGTATATGAGGGGAAAGAAGGCCGAGCCGAAAAAGCCCGAGAACAACATGGCGCACAGTACGTTGCGGTTCTTGAACAGGCGCGGCGGAAGGGTGCCTTCATCGCCCTTCCAGACCTGGATACCGACAAAGATCAGTATCATAGCCCCGAAGCCCACAAACAGGCCAATGATGCGCGAGTTGCTCCACGGGTACTCGGCGCCACCCCACTGGAGGGCAAGCAGCAGGCAAATCACGGCCGGGATGAGGATGGCCGTCCCGAGGAGATCCAGTTGCTTCATCTTGCCCAGGAAGCCGAGGTTCCGTTTCTTCTGGCCCTTGATGTGCAGGAGACAGAATATGGCCACCATTGTTGCACCGCCGATGGGGAGATCTACAAAGCCATGTCAGCCAGGGACGGCGGGCCACATCCACCCACCCGATGGAGGAGACGGCCTGTCTGTCACTTACTGACGTAGAAACACCACCTCCAGGTGACATGATCCGTGAAAGCACCCCCGAGCAAGGGCCCGGCGACGGATGCGATGCCCCACATGCCCCCGATCAAGCCAAAGGCAAGAGGCCTCTGCCGAAGCGGCAGGGTGTATGCCAGGATGACGATGGAGCCCGAGAACAGACCAGCCGTTCCCATACCAGCGACCGCCCGGCCGACGATGAAAGCCGTCGAGCTGGGCGCAAGTGCACATACCAGGCTGCCAACCTCGAAAACAAACACGGCCAGAAGGTAGATGAGTTTGACACTGAAACTGTTGTACAGCTTGCCGTATAGTGGCTGCAAGGCCGTGGTCGTGAGCAGGTAGGAGCTGCCGTACCAGCCTATGTCCTTGACCGATTCAAACTCGGCCGTGATGGCGCCCAGGGCAGGGGCTATGATGGTCTGGTCCAGGGCCACGAGGACTGCAGTATCCGGGATCAGCTATCGGCGGTGCGACACGAGTTCCACGTGCAAGTGCGGAATGGTGGTGGGATGCAGACGGAGGATTGGTGACAGGCCTTAGGTTGGGGGGGGGGGTTTGCTTACAGACGGACAGACACAGCGAGGTCAGTATCAGAACCCGGGCGAGGCGCTTGGGGTACACAACAGCGTCGGCCTGGTCCGTTGATGAGGGCGTCGACAGGTGGCCTCCGTCGATGTGTGCCTTTTCGTCGTCTTTCGCGTGTGCGCCGGGGGGCTGTTCTTGCGAGTCCATGGCTATGGGATCGCGCTCTGCTGTTCCCTGTGCATGTCACCACCAGGGATCATCAGAAGAAGACCTGGCACGGCCAAATTGGCACCGCACGGGCTGGTGGCGAGCTCCCGTAGCTGGAGTATGAGACCTTGTTTCCTTGGCTCGTTCGTGTGCGATAGTGAGCGTGTGAGTTTGTGGGTGTGTTTGTAAGGAAACCGGCTACGTCCATTTGTTGTATGACCATGATACAGCACGTTCATAGAGGTACTGCATGTGAATAAGGGTCTGAGACATTGGGTATTGTCCCTTGCCCTAGGCGGCGTCCGCATTGTCCCGAGCACCGCGTTCCCCCAAGGGTGCTCCGCGATCTGAGGACCCAAGTGTCGCGGGCCGCCCACAAAAGCTTGTCCCATGTCCCAAAGTCTTTGGCGTCATGGCAGGAACAAGATTCGAAAATTAGGTTGCTCGGGGCATTGATACGGTAAAACGGATGGATTCAAGGGCCAGCCCCCTAGGGCCGACGGCCCGGACTCGGCAATCAGACATATCCGAGCTCGAGGCCCTTCCCACTGCCAATTGCCGGAGCAACGACTGCAAGGGAGCCTTTCATATTTACATGCATCCGTCTCCTATCACGGGGCTAATAGGAACGAGGCGCATAGTCTATCCTGAAGTCACGCCCACGAAGCCGCCAGCTATTATTCCTTGCCCAAGCCCAGCAGTACGAGATTGGCCACGTTCATTGCGGCGATAATCAACCAGATCACCGCCGCGATGATGACAACCGGTATCGAGTTGGCCATCTTCACGTTCTCCGGGTCGTCAGACCGGTTGCGGTCACCGGGGGCGTCGTCATTCTCGCCCTCGACGGCGAAACGAGCCCTCCCCGGTAGGACCTTCATGTACTTGTTCATGCAGGTGAAATAGATCAGCGGCGCCGACACGAATGGTAGCACGACGCTCAGAGCGACCTGTGACGCGTTCAGTGCCGTGTCGAGGCCCTCCCTCCCAACGGCACCGGCGATTATGATGCTGGGGGTGATGCTCATGGAGCGCGTGATGAGCCGCCGGAGCCAGGGGCGCATGTTCCACGACAGCGCGCCCTCGCTGACCATCTGCCCCGCGATGGTGCACACGATCCCTGCGGAAACGCCCGAGAGCAACAGCGCCAGCGCGAAGAGTATGCCGGCACCCCTGCCCAGGCTCGCGGAAAGCAGGTCATGGATGGCGAAGATGTCGTCGTTCTGCGCCTCGTCGGACCGGTACAGGGATGCGCCGGCAATGATCAGGATGGCCGAGTTGATGAAGAGGGCAAAGGTGAAGAGGGATGTGGCCAGTTCGACGATCGAGTATTTCATGCAGTGCCGGATCGCGCGCAGGGAGGGAATGTAGATGCTCTTCTCCGAGTCCTCGTTGATGGACGACGAGTTCGGGCCGCCGCCCTCGGGCATCAGCCCCTTGCTGACGTCGTACTCCCTCAGCCGAGCCTGGACAATGCCGGAGCCCAGGTACAGGCTGTGCGGCATGACCGTGGCGCCCAGGATGCCGCAAGCCTGGTACAGACCCTGCTGCTCAACGATGGCCTTGGACGGCAGGTAGCCTTGGAAAACATCGGCAACCGCCGTGTCGCGGATCAGCGACATCTGGATACAGAAGCAAACGACGACGGCGAGCACGAGAAGAACCACAAAAGACTCGAAGGCGCGGAGTCCACGCATGGAGCCGTTTGGGTTGTAGAAGAGGAGGATGATCATGACATCCAGGATAGAGATGGCACAGCCTGCCACCAGGGGGATCTGCGGGATGAGCAGGTTGATGGCTATCGCTGTGCCGATGACCTGCAAGTGCCGAGGCCGTCATCAGTAAAACAAATCTCCGGGTGGGGGGCGGGGATCTCCGCAGGGACGTTTTCACGAGTAGACTCACCTCTGCCAGGTCGGTGGCGATGATGGCTATCTCGGCCATGGCATACAGGGCATAGTTCAGCCAGCGAGGCAGAAAGGCACGGCAGGCCTCGGCCAGGTTGAGCCCGGTGACGGTGCCGAGCTTGACACAGAGGCCCTGCAGGAAGATGGCAAACACGTTGCTCAGGAGCACTATGAACAGCAGGCGGAAGCGGTACGAGGCGCCGGCGGCGATGCCGGTGGCGTAGTTGCCGGGATCTATGTAGGCCACCGCAATCATGAAGCCCGGGCCGACGAACTTGCCAAAGGTGAGGACGGCCTCGCGGACGATGCCAAGGACGGAACGCCGGCCCCGGTGGCTGCCCAGAGAAGGCGTCGGTGTCGGCTGGTGGCCCCCGGCTGCCAAGACAGCGGCCGTCGTCGCCGAGGCCGGGTGGACTGCCCGCGTCGACGGGGGGCCACCAGCGTCGGTCCCTGAGGCCTCACCCGTGGCTGCTGAAGAAGAAGGGCTAGGTGAGGAATTGTCCATAGCCCTGGCTATAGCCCGTGAGGATACTGGTGGCGATGCTGCTCGAGCCCGTCAAGGGAGTGGGAGCCAAATTCCACAACGCCCGTCGATGCTGAGAGTGTGAAGAATGCCTTTATCTTCCCATGAAACGTCCCGACGTGTGCACTCAGACAGATGTGCGTACAGGGTTGTGTCCCGAAGGTGTCAACGATTCTGGGGCGTCTCGATGCCGAGGGCTCAACGGGCGAAATGGATGATCAGGAAGGGTGCCTGTCCCGTGTCAGGGCGGCACACAGCTGGGCAGGCTCACTGTGCAGTCTCAACTCGACAGTCGAGGGCGTGGTAGCTGGTCCTGGTGCTGACGATGCTGCCGCTGCTGCTACTGCTGCTTGCTACCGCTGCTGTTCCTACAGACAGAGAGTGTCGCCATCGCCAGGTCGAGTTGCGGCCCATGCACGATTTTAAAAGCACCGGCCGCTCCTGGGGGGGGGGGGAAGGTGGGTGGGTTGCAGAGCAATTAGAATTAGTCCCCTTGTAAAGCACAGCAGTAGTACACGGGGCTATCAACAAGCTTGGCCCAGCCGTTCGTTAGTGGATTCTAGAATCACGTAACGGTTTCTCCCGGCCCACAGAGGTGTTGTGATTTGACTTCGTCACCACTGCTGCTGCTGTAATCCGCCGGGTCCCAGTGCCGAGGGTACGGGGCAGTGCAGCCACTCAGCCGGGATCACAAGCCGCTACCCAGCCGCCAGTCCGCGTCCGGTTTTCGTGGGTTTTCTCTTATCTTCTCTCTTGTTTTTCGTCTCTTCCGTTCCCTTTGTGCACGCAGCAGACGGGTGCACAAAGGCGTCTAGACTGCCTTACTATCTAGTATGTATGTACAACAAGGGGCTAGCCCAAGGTCGTGCCTCGGGACCGGCTTGGGTGCCGCTGTGGTGCCGGTCTGTCAGCGCGGTGACCTGCCGGCTTGGCCCGACTCGCCGAGCCTATCGCCAACTTATTAACCCCTGTGTCCTGTCTGAGTTCATCCAGTCCAGAGTCACATGTCCGCAGTGTGTTGGATACGCCCGTTCGACCTCTTCTTTCCTCGCTGCCCTGCCATACCATGCTCTACATCGCTCACGCTAAGCAGCCCAGGTCTCTCTCATCTGCCCCTTCTACTCTGCCCTCGCCCCTCGCCAATCCTCGCCACAGCTCAAAAGTTACGACAGGCGCCACACTCATAGATGCCCGGGGTAGCGCCCGCTGGAGAACCTCCTCAACTGCCGCTATTTCTGCTTCTTGCCCTCGACCTTGTTCTTGGATGTCCTCTCCTGCTCTCTCTTGGCGTATATTCCCGCCGTGAATGGGTTCTCGTACTGCAGGGCAACGAGGTAGACGGTGAGCACCCAGGCAGTCAAGAGGATCCCCGCCGGCCGGCCGTACAGCAGGGCGGACCCCAGGAAGCTCATCGTAGAGCCGTAATACATGGGCGCGTCGCAGACGCTGAAGGGGAAGCCGGTGACCATGTCGTCCATCAGGATGCCGAAGTAGTCACCCAGGAAGGTGCCGGTGATTCCTAGGGCCCACGTCGACGTGACGACCAGGATGTTACCACCGGCGATGAGGGCGTAGCCGAGGTACTTGGCGGCGTCGGTCTCAAGCAGGGGGTGCGGGGGCTGGTGTCGGAGGGCACGCTCGTAGAGGAAGTCCCGGCACAGGCCGAGGCCGAAGATGGTTGTGGCGAGGGCGTAGCATGCTGTTTGAGCGTTGCCGCCGAATGCCTTGGTCATGAACCGGGTGCGATACTCGCGCCGAGCGACGATGCTGCGAGGGACGGGGTCAGTCCCTCAGTCAGGCACATACACAGATACGGACATCGACACTGCGACGCTGGGGAAACAATCTCACAGAGGGGCACCAACTCACTTCCAGAACGTGGGGTTGAAGGCAATCGCCGCGGCAGAGACTAATACGTCGAGCTCGAGTCGTCAGTCAGGAAGGATTGGGGTGCCGGCTTCCAGCCAAGGTTGGTTGGGTGGAGGAGGGGACATGACCAACCGAATAAGCTCTTTTGGCTGAGGTCAACCAGCTGGTGTTGTTGGACAATTGGGGCCATCTTTGAGGGTGACAGGAATGTGTGGGGGGGGAGGGGGGTGGTTTCCAAATGGTGAAGCTCGATGGAGAGAAAGAGGGATGAACTGGATCAGAGCTCTCTGGCATTTGCCTTTGGGAAGCTCTCCCGAGTAGGGTGTTTGTCTCCAACCTCCCCCTGGCCCCCTCCCCCTCCCCTCGCTGTGTGCCGCTCCCCGGCTTTAGCCGCCTTCAATAAGGGTTGCTGGAGAGAGCCAAGGGTTGTCAATCCCTACGTCATTGGCGCTCGTACTAGAAGTATACTGTGGTGCTTGCGCAGGTACGTACCCTGAGCTGAGTAATCGATAGATAGCAGGGGCAAGGGGTCCGGCCGGGTGGTCATAGCTCCACGGGAGTGTGCGAACGAACCACATAGACTACATCGCAATCCGATGAGCCCTCACCTGTCCGGCAGACGTTTCAGACAGCAGGGCACATACCACGCCGCAAGTCCATATTTTACCCCTTCTATATAAGTAAATACTGGACCACGGTTGAGATTCGGGGCTCCTGCAGACAGGGGGAGGACATGAAGGGAACAAGACAAGACGCGACGCGAGACACACAAAACCCCGTCAGCCGCACATAGTCTGTCTGTCTGCCTTCATATCTGTCCTGCTGGGCGGGCTGTCTCAACACCAGGCCACCACCCGCGCCGCTGCATCGCGCCATTCCCGTCGCCATCACCATGCCTCCCAAGAAGTCGTCTGCAAGGTCAAAACAGCCCCCCAAAATAGACCCAGACTCGTCCTTCACCCCCGAGTCCTTCGAGAAGGAGCTCAAGAACCTGGCCGCAAAGGCAAAGGACGAGACGTGGGCCAGGTGGCTCCTCGAGCAGGCCTCCGTCTACCTGAGGTCCTCCCTCCTCCTCGGCCTGGCCGCCGTCTACGCCAACGTCTCCGAGCTGGCCTTGTCGCCCGTCTACGGCTCCATCCCCGTGTCGATATGGCACGACAGGCTCGTCATGGCCGCCTGCTTCGTCGGCTGGGCATGCAACCTGCACCTTGGCCGCATCCTCCCCGTCAGGATAGCCTACCTGCTTCCCATCGTCGCCCTGTACATCCCCGTCGCCCAGTTCTTCCTCTTCAAGCTCAGCGGCACCCTCACTGCCTACCACGGCCCCTTGATCACCGAGGCCCTCACACTGGCCCCGCTCATCGTCTTGTCCGTCGCCTGCACCGCCACCTACCTTGATGGGGCAGACCTGTCCGCCCTGCCCGGCTTCATACGCGATGCCTCGCCCGGCATCGCTTCCTACTTCTACTACAGGCTTGTCGAGAACCTGTCTGCCGGCCTCCTGGCACGGTACATCGGCAAGGCCATCTTCCAGACCCGCGTGGTCCTGGAAGCAATCCTCGGCGCATCCTACGCCCTTTTCGCCCCTTCCAAATTCCTGGTACTCACTCTGCCCGCATTGCTGCATACTGCCTTCTTCAACACCCATGTCATGACGTCCATGGCGACCAGGTCTTTGAATAGCACCCTGCTGGCCAACGACTGGATACTGCATGACCGGAGGGAGTCCCTGACTGGCTATATATCGGTCGCGGACAACCTCAAGACGGGCTACCGGGTCATGAGGTGCGATCACAGCCTTCTCGGCGGGGAGTGGGTCCGATACAAGGGCGTGAGAGTCGCGGAGCCCATCTATGGCGTCTTCACCATGCTCGAGGGAGTGAGGCTTGTTGAGGTTCCAGAGCCGGTCCCCGACAGTGAGGCCAAGGCCCTCGTAATGTGAGAAAATCCAACCCTGCGCTGATTTTTGCGCATCTGTTGCTAACTGTTACGAAACCAGCGGGCTCGGCATCGGTACCACACCGGCAGCCCTTGTGGCACATGGTGTAGACACGACGGTGGTCGAGATTGATCCTGTCGTGCACGAGTTCGCCTCAAAATACTTCCAGCTCCCGTCCAACCACACGCCCGTCATCGCGGATGCGGTCACTTATACGGCAGACCTGGTCAACAAGACAACCGACCAGTTTGATTACATAGTCCACGACGTCTTCACTGGTGGCGCCGAGCCCATAGCGCTGTTCACGCTCGAGTTCCTCCAGAATCTCGAGGCGCTCCTTAAGCCCAATGGCGTCATCGCTATAGTATGTTGCCTGCTCGCGCTGCCCTCTCCCGGCTGTCGACGCTGACCTGTCATCTCAGAACTACGCCGGGGATTTCGCCCTTCCACCGCCCAAAATCGTTGTCCATACCATCAAGCAGGTGTTTCCATCCTGCCGTATCTTCCGCGAGAACCCTCGTGACGAGGATGTCATCGAGAAGGAGAAACGCGACTTTACAAATATGGTAATCTTCTGCGTCAAGACCGACCGCCCCGTTACGTTCCGTAAGGCCACCGCCGCGGACCTACTCCAAAGCCGCACCCGGGAGCACTTTCTTGTACCCAAGCACGAGGTTACTGACAAGGACTTTATGGCCGTCGAGGAGGCCAGCGTTCTGAGGAGTAATGATACTGCGGCACTGGCTAAGTGGCACGAGAAGAGTGCTCTGGGACACTGGGAGGTCATGCGAATTGTGCTGCCGGATGTCATATGGGAGCAGTGGTAGCGTGTCGAGGTGCGATGGCTTGGAGTCATGTGACGGCGAAGCTATATACCACTGCCTGAATCCCAGAATGTGCTCTGGAATCATGATGTTTGAAAAGGGTAACAGCTCTGGCCATGGTACAGTGTTTGCAGCCTCGTCTCCAGCCGGGGACTAACGTACCTGTGGGCACAAACTTCTCCTGTCATGAGACCACAACTAAGATAGAGATGCTGTAGAGCCGTCCATGGCCTCCATTTATCCGCAAATATAATAAACATGTGTCTTTCTCCTGTTGGGAACTTTCCCTATCCTCTGTTATGTAGGAGGTCGCCAGATCTTGATGCGTGGTCACAGTCCACGATGTATACATGCTACTCCCACAATCTCATCGAGAACTCGTGGCCTTCTAGGTAGTTCATTAATCAGGCACCATGTTACACACGGCGAGAACGCCCTCAAACTGGTTAGCTCGGTCAGTTGGTTCGAAGCTGAGTGTCAGCCAACACGGTTCAACAGTTATGATGACAGCAGTCGTAATACTCAGTGTATGGAACACGAGGGCTGCAGCTGCTTCATCCTCTACTCTCTAGCCACAAATTTCTCCCCCCTCCTTGCAACAATCCTTAGGTTTTTGGTCTCTCCAGAGTAGCATCCATGTTTAAGCACAGCCTATTCGTATTTATGTATAGACAGTGACCTCGATATTTCTACCTCTGGTAATTCCTACCTGGAGATGGCTGTTCCAGCTCCTGTAAGCCTATGCTCCTCGACAGTGTATGGTTTTGCTTGTGTACCGGTTCCGAACTGGGTTGAAGATGAACGGGAACGGAACGCACCCTGGATCTAGAGACTCCAGCACTCCACTCACCCAATTGATTGTGAGGCCGTGGTACACGTGTGCGAGCACCACGGGCGCTGTTTACGCAGGCTTTCATCCACCAGTGAAACATTGCTGCGAAGACAGGTGTGTATACGTTGATCATTACACCGGCAAAAGCGGAAACTACCGCGACAAGAAGAACAAAGCCGAGGACGGGGTTCATGGCGGGCACGATGGCGCTGTGCATGGTTCATGTGTCAGGTGGGTGATTATGACTCGGAATATATGACTGAATATAGCAGACTGAAGCTGAAGCTCAGCCGGAAAAAGTCCCAGGCAGCAGTTCGGATGATCCAGTGGAGAAGGAAGGGCGGCGGTCGAACGAAATGAGGCGAAAGCCAGATCATCCAGATGCCTTCGCTTTCCTAGCCGCAGATCTATTCTTCTGGTAACCGTCCTTGCGACTGCCATCCATACTCGCAAGCTTGTTTCCTCAAGGGCTGCTTTCAGTATTGTGCATTCTCTTAACTCCGCTTGGAAGTACATCGGCAGCGCGTACACCTCCGCAGCAACAACTTCTATTCCCAATCATCGGTCCCATCCAGGAGGGCTCAGTTGGCGCCCGTGTCAACGATCCAGGGTTCGCCTTTCTCTGTCAACTGGTCCAGCCCCATGCTCTGTCGTTTAGGTTATAATATCCGTTCAGTATCTCTCAAGACCCACGCAGTATATAAAAAAGAGTATTAAATATAATAAATAAGTTTTTCTTAAAATACAGATAATTTTAAATTAATAATATTTTAATTTAACCTTACTATTATATGTTAATCATTTAAAGATATATAATATATTATAAGCTTTTTTACGTTATTTAATGTAAAGCATTAATTTTAAAGTTAAACTTATAATTTTAAATTATAATAAAAAAGATATAATTAAATTAACGGTATATTTTTATATATATTAAAAACGGGCAAACCCTAGGTAAAATAAAAAGGCCGCTATTTTATTAATCCCTTAAAGAAAAAAAGAAAAACATTAACGTAAAAGGAGAAAAATAAAGGAAATAAAGAGAAAGAGCTTTAATTAAAGCATAAAGATTAAAAGAAGTTATTTAATAAGATTAAAGATTTTAAAAAAACTTTAATTTTTAATTTATTTTTAAAAATTATTTAAAAAAGAATATAAGTAAGTTTTATATCCTTTTAAATATATTACAGCTTTAATTATAATTAATCTTTTTTAAATTATTCCTTATACTTAATAATATACCCCTTTTTAAATCTTTTGCTTAATAAAGGAAGTAAAAGATTGCTAAAAATTAATATAAGCTTTAATTAATATTATTTTATACCTTTTAATTATCTTTTCTTATTTTTAAAAATGCTTAGCTACTTATTTATTTCTAGCTTTTTTTTACTTCTTTAATAATATTTTAGCTTACTTAATTATTTATATTTTCTTAAATTTATTAATAATCTTATCTTAATTATTAAAATTTAATTAAATAATAAATATAAAAATTAAAGTTAAAACTTTTAAAATATTAATAAATTTAAAGGTTTTAATATTTTTTAATATTAATAATAATTTATTAATAATGCCTTTATTACTTAAGCTTTAATTAAAAGGGTTAAGATTAATAAAATTTAATTACTTATTAAATTAATTTATATTTAAATCTTTATTATTAAACTTATTAATAATACTTTTCCCTTTTTTAATATACTTAAGTTAACTTTATTCCTTATTTATATTTATAATTAAAATAAAGGATTGCAAAATATTTTTATATATATTAAGCTAAGGTTTCTTAGCTATATTTAAGATTTCTTAAGGTAAGGCTTAAGGCTTAAAAATATAAATAATAAGAAAAAGGCTTAATATTAATTTTAAGATATAAATATTAATTCTTTATTATATATTATTTCTTAATAATTTCTTAAGCTAAGCTTTAAAATATATTAATATTTATAACTTTTAAAGTAATTTTCTTTTTAAATATAATATTTAAATATAATTTTTTAACTTAATTATTATTTATTATAAGCTAGCCTTAAGTTATTTATTATAAAGTATTAAAATAAGGTTTATATTTAAAGTATAAAGGAAGAGGTTTACTCCTTATTTATACTTATATTAAAGCTTATTTTTATAAGATTAAAGCCCGTTAATTAATTATAATAAGCAAAGCTTAAATTATAATATATCCTTTTTTTTAAGTTTTTTAATAAGCTTAAAAGCGTAATTATATAATAAAAAATAAAGGACATTATAATTTAATTATAAATTAAATATTACTTTTTGCTTAATTATTTAATTTATTATGGGCTAGCCCTGGGTTGTTTGCCGTAAGGTGCTTAAATAAGGTTTATATTTAAAGTGCAAAGGAAGAGATTCGCTCTTTATTTATATCCGCGCTAAAGCCTATTCTTATAGGGCCAAAGCTTGCTAATTAATTATAATAAGCAAAGCTTAAACTATAATATATCCTCTTTCTTTAAGTTTTTATAATAAGCCTTAAAGGGCAGCTATATAATGAAAAATAAAGAATATTATAATTTAATTATAAATTAAATATTGTTCTTTACTTAGCCATTTAATTATATTTTAACGCTTTTTAAATACATTAAAAGCCTAGCTTATTTTTTATAATTAATATACTTTTAACCCTTATAATTTAATATATTAGCTAAAGTAAGCTAATAAAAGATAATTATTTAAATATAAGCTAATAATAAAATTAATAATATTCTTATAATTCTTTAATTTAAGCCTTTTATATAAACTTTCTTATTTAAATCCTTAAAACTATAAATTTATTATATAATTTATAATTAATTAATGCTTAATTATAAGCAATTTACTTTATTAATAAAAAATTCTTAAACTTTAAGTATTTTATAATATTAAATTAATTAATATATAGCTAGCTTATTTTAAATTTAAGCTAGCATTATATTAATAAAATTTAAGCCTTACTTTATAAAAAGATTTTACACTCCCTTAAATAAACTCTTTTTTTTTATTAATTTTAATTAATAAAAGCTATAATTTTATTTTTTTATAATAATTAAAATAATTATGCTTATAATAGCTAAGCTAGCTATATATAAAATACTTAACTTTACTTATTAAGATTATTATAATATTAATATTTATTAATTTATTATTTTAAAATTAAATATTATTCTTTTTTATTATAGCATTAAAAACATTATTATATTATTATAAATTAAAATAAAAAGCCTTAAATATATTTAATTACTTCTTATAATTAAGCTAAGCTTTTATTATAAAGGTTAAGCTATTAATTATTAATAATATTTTATATTTATTTAATTAACTTTAAGCCTTTATTATATAAGTTAATTAATTAAATTAAGCAAGAAATTTTATTATTTCCTTTTTATAATATTATTACAATATAATTAAGCTAAGCTTAATATACTTTTATTTAAAAAAGTTCTTAAGCATAAAGTAAATCTTTATTAAAAAGCTTTTTAGTTATTTCTTAAATATTTTTATAAAATTAATATAAAATAAAAATTAATTATAATAAGTTCTTAATAAATTAAATATATAAAAGAATTAAGCCCTTTTAATATTAATTACCTTTTTATTTATTATAAACTTAATCCTTATTTTTATTAATTAAATTATTAAATATTCTTAAGTTAAAAGTTTTTTAAAATAAAAAAAAGCATAATAAGCTATTATTATTCTTTTTAAGTTTTATTATATTAAGTTTTATATAATTACATTATAAATTTATAATATAAAAAAACTTTAAATATATATTATAAGCTAACCTTAAGTTATTTATTATAAGGTATTTAAATAAGATTTATATTTAAAATATAAAGAAAGAAATTTATTCTTTATTTATATTTATATTAAAGCTTATTAATTAATTATAATAAATAAAGCTTAAATTATAATATTATTAATAATTTCTAATATAATAATTAAGTTAATATATTTCTTAATTACTTTTATAATATTAAAAAATATAATAAGATAATTAATAAAAGTTTAAATATAGTTATTTATTTTATTAAATTTAAATTAAAAAGTATATATTTAAGTTATAATGCTTATAATAGCTTAATTTAATTATAATAATATTATTTTAATTAAGATAAACTTAACTTAATTATATTTTTTTTATTTTTAATTCTTTAATTTTTTTTAAAAAAGG